TTATGAACGCAATTCAACGAGAAGTTTGTTCGTGAACTGAACTCGTTTGTGACGTTTTAAAAATAAGCAAGGCATGACGGGAAGTCGTCTGAGTTTGATCGAAAATGTTTATAAATCGAGTAGAATTCGTAAAATGTTGAGCATTGTGCAGTTTAGAGGCAGTGTGATGTAAAGACACACTGTCACAGCGATGCGATGCGGTATCAATGTCGAGGCCGAGAGTCGTCTCATTCTATAGCTAATGTAAGCTTGAAGCATGATAATATCGACGATACGATGATAACAACAATAAATTCTCACTTTCACATACGTATCACTTCACACATAGTCTACAGATGGGTTCGTATCACCTCCATCAAGCCCCACAACAAATCCGCCACTATCATATTTGCTATTTAAGATAGTTCTTCGTTGATTAATAAATAATAAAAAACGTTCTCTTTATTCCGTCTTAAGATAACGATGTGTGGCACAACGAAATACCACTGATAAGATGCGATTAAACTGCACAAATTGAAATGAATATTGTATGCTTATACGATCAATAATACTCATCGTCAAAATAATGTAACAATTCCAACGAAGGTAAATGTGAGTAATGTTCAGTAAATGAGCGTTTTCGACGAAATTTACACATAAGACATCATGTACAACAACCCAAAAAACAAGTAAAGGCAAGCGAATGCGAAAAAATTCACAAAATGTAAAGTAGAAGTGTGTTGTGCAATCTAATTGTAAGTGTACTGATAAGATCAAATGAAAGGAATTATCAACTATCAGATAACAATGAGAATATTGGAATGGAACAAGCGAGAAGATAATATCGTTATCAAATAAGATCATTACCAACAATCAAGCAATAACAAATGCAATAAGTGAATAACACTTCAACAAATAAGGCAATATCAACGCAGTCATTAAAAGACGCACAACGAAGTGACAATTAGCGAATAAGTAAAAAATGAGTGCACTTGTTGTCAACAATACAATGGAACTGAGAATGAGCGATCGCAAATTATTAAAGTGAGATTATCGATGAGAGTAAAATGTTTAACGAACAATCTAACAGGTAACTGAAATACTAAGAGCAATGGAATGATTCGGCAATAACAGATCAGAGGCTTGACGGAGCGCTTTAAGCAAGGGCACATCTAAATTAAATTATATACAGACCAATTTGAAACATGATGCAAGTACATTTTTCAAGCATAAACACCACTAAATAAACGGTTGTAACCATAACAGACTGCTGTTAGTTAACTCCAATAGAACTGTTGTTATTGTTCAGAGTCGTATCAAAATAGACGGGTTTGAATGATTGTGGTGTTGAATTCGAAGAACGGGCAGGCACATGAGCTCGGGCAGCTTGTCTCGAGCGATTTCTAGCCACTGTACCCCATTCCACGCAATACTTGTGAGCAGTTGGCTGATTCAGATGCTTTATGGTGCCAACGTCTGCACACATCATCGTGATACTCGTCTCGATCAACGTCAAACGCACCTTCACATCGCCACTTCGGAATCGACGCACCTTAAATCGATTACAACTCCACTAAAAGATATCTATCTGTTCACTTCACAGTTGTTCTCCTAAGAAGGAAAAGATTTTCGTCTTACACCAAACAACACTGAAAAAAAGAATTCGTTTAAAAGCACACAATGTAGTCGATAGCTCTCCACTCGAACGAGTC